TCGCCCTGATGACGGAGGCAGTATGACCTCTGAAACGTTGGTTAACATCGACCAGACTACACAGCGCAATAACCCAGAAGACAGAAATCTTCAATTATAAATAAGTATGAACTTTTAAAGAGATGGTTGTGGTGTATTTTAATGTATTACCAAAATACCACGGAAAACCGCAATTAGAATTGCCAATAAACTAGCCGAGATTTGAAGTGGCGTAACGAATATATCTCTACAGGATTATCGCTACTTTAGCCTGTTCTTTCGCTTTTAAAGCACATAAAAGGTGATGAATTGCAAATTGCTGAAGACTGGAAACGAAATATTCTAATAAATTATTTTCCGAGTCATGGTGGTCGCGTTTTGGTGAGACGCCAGAACATCGTTTCTGCCGCGGGCAATGCACATTATAGTGTATCGCAAATCACCTTTCAACATCGAGTCCACCACGCTGCTACTCTAATATTTTCCAGGGCTGTAAGCTACAATTTGCGATTTTCACTTGCAAATGATACCATCATGTCACCCGGAATAATTAGCTACAAAATAATAGCAGCATTCTTTCAATGCCGATTTTCGTATGACTACTTACTAACTGTAAATAACCGGTTCGAGCCATTTTAGTCATACACAAAGTTTCCCGACATCATTAAGTCCTATGAAGACATATAGAATAAATTAAATTCGATCTCATACGCAAAGCAGTTCAAGTACTAAAATTAACTAACCATCAGGTCCAACACCGACAACACCAAAGCCCGCCACCGGCCACGATCCTGAGCCAACTCGATCGACTTTCCATCCTCACAGCCCACATCCCTAAGATCAATGTTTATGTTACCCTCCCATCTCCTTTTTGGTCTGCCCAGTGATCGTTTTCCACGATTTCCCACCAAACTCCTGTATGCACACCTTACCTCCGCCCATGCGTGCTACATATCTAGCCCATCAGACCCTCCTACATTTTACTATCCTCACTGTACAATTCACGCAATTAATTCATTCTTTTTACAAACTTCCGGAACACCAGCACACTACTGATTAAAGGAGATATTTTACTATCCTCACTGTACAATTCACACAATTAATTCATTTTTTTTACAAACTTCCGAAACACCAGCACACTACTGACTAAAAGAGACCAAGGCATTTATCGAGTTAATCGATTATTATTGAGCTGTTCAAATCGAGAAGATACATAGAGATGAGATGTGTTCACAAAACTGTTGGCAAGAAATTTCAAGGGCAGAAGAAATTCATTGACACCTAGGAGTAAAAGTAAGGATAATATTAAAACGGATACAAACTATAATTCTAAATGATTCCGTGTTATTCAGGATAGATACTATCGGCTAATCTTAAAAAGGCAATAAACCTTCGGATAACATAGAAAGATAGCCACGGTGGTCTAGCGGTTAGAACGCTGGCTTTGTAATCCTGGGGTTTCGAGTTTGATTCCCGGCGGTGCCCGAATTTATAACTTTTGTTGGGCAAGGCCGTGGTCTAGACAACACGGAGCTTTCCTCCGGGGGCTTCCCCGGTTTCTCCGTGGCATCCCAACAATTACTCCATTCACACACAGAAGAAGGCAATGGCAAACCACTTCTGGATCATCTGCCAAGAACGTATATGAAATAATAATAATAATAATAATAATAATAACAACATAGAAAGTGGACAGTTTCTTGACCGAAACCTTCATGGAGTGAAATACATTTTGGATGGAGGAACGACTCTTAGAAAAGGGGAATGGACATGTTCCAAAACGTCAAAATTTTGATGAGAGGATTATGGAGCCTTGAAGAGTGGAGGACAACAAGGACACGATAATGTAAAAAAAAATGTGTATGGTTCAGAATGCGAATTGCTTCTGATGAATTATGTATCCAGAGCAGTGCACCATAAATGATTTCGTTTCTCCTTGCAATATGACAAATGCCCTTTAAGTTAGCAGGGACTGAAATAATAAAATTCTGTCTGAATTTCATTCTGCATATCTTTCGCTGAGTGTCCAACACGCTGAATGAATAAACCCACCTCTCGTTCTGAACTGGAAACACGTACAGCACGCGAACCATAATCCTTCTTAAAAATCCGATAGCCTCTTAGAAAATTAAACAATCTTTGGCCTTTTACGGAAGGTTCCAATATTTGGTGAATATAGATAACAAATCAGAAAAGATAAGGAGCATGGGATAAATTCAAAATGCATTTTGAGTTTTTCAGAAAAGATAAGGAGCATGGGATAAATGCAAAATACATTTTGAGTTTTGATCGGAATATATAAAGGAAAGAGACCGCTTGGAAGACCTCGACGTAGAGGGCACTGATAACAAAAATCATCTTGAGATATTGACGTGGAAATGTGTCGTTTGGATTTGTATGACTCAATATAACGATCAGTGACAGTTCTTTTGAATACAGTAATGAAATTTCACGTTGCATCCAAAGGCGGTAAATTTCCTTTCAGTCTATTAAGCCTCTTAATAAGAACTCTTCTCAACGGAATTGGTTATTAATAGTGACAATGGAAGACGGTCCAGTCACAATGCACTCTTTTCAGCCGGCATTGGCGTTGTTCTGACAGTTTTATTTACCAATT